CTTGTGTTGCAACTATCTTCCAAGGTTTATCTTTATTTATAATAATAATAAATATTATTATTTATTTACACCTATCGATCTGGCATGAGATTGATCCGTATTTATTTTTATGGTCTCGCCTCAGAGCTGTAGCTGACTAAAAATGGGATGAGACCAGCGAGGGAAACATTGACACCCAGATTGCAATTCCTGATATCGGTGTTGGCCATAGTAGCTGAGAGTGATGGGAGCTGTAGTCCAACGCAGCTGAATAGAGCTCCCTGGGCAAGCGCAATCCATCGACTGATTCCTCCAGAGATGGTTTCCAATCAAACTTTTTATTGATGAACCTGACAGATGAGTAACCTTTGTGGTGTGATTGATCTGGATCTAAAGGTACTGTGGCAAGCTTGCTTCCAGATGTTTATTTTAAGGTTGTCCCACCATGTCTGAACCTCTGATTTCACTTATCTCTTCAGCAAAATCTTCTTCTGAGGGGCTTCCTCAAAATTAAGCTTCTTGATCTTCTTTCGGGTCTCTCAGCCAGGCCCTTTACCCCCTGCCCACCCCCAAATTTGGCTTCTAAGAAGTTTCCTCTTCTCACCCTTTGCCTGGAAGAACTCGCTTGTTCATCTAGTGCTCCACGTTGACTCGAGAAACCTTTCTGCCATTCACCAGAGAATATTATAGGGTTGAGCTGGAGTTCACACAACGCGTCTTGAAAACTGTTAGGCTGAACATTGTGTTGGCTGTTTGAACCACATATCAATCCAGAGAACCAGCAGCAATGGCCATGGAGTTGTCGTTGTTAAGTGGTTTCTTGTTTCTAATATTAGTACTGCCAAGAGATGGATCCAGGCCTTGAGCTCAACTCAAAGGAAATTGGCTTCTTTGACCTCTAAAAACTGCCTCCATGACCACAAATTCAAGATTCATCCCTAGTAACTGAAAGCAGTGGGAAAAATAATTCCTCCTGTATTTGCTAAACATGGCTTAATCTAGCCGTAGTCAAAGTGTGTGCTGATGTGCTATCTTAGGTTATACAGTAGGACAACTAACATCATTCTGTTTTGGAGACCATCTTCCAAACATTTTTGAATCCAGGAAATTTAACATTCCAGAAGGTGGACAGTACTGTCTCTGAAGACTTGAAGTTTCTATCAACCTCCCTCTACCATCAGAGAAGCCATCAACTAAAATAATAATTCCCAAGGTGATCACAGGAGGAAACATTTAAAGATATGGAGAACAGGCATAGGAAGGTTTTTCACTCAGTTAAGAAAATTGCTATGTAAATTGAATGAAAGCATGTGCCATTTTTGTCCAGATCCCCGCAATTCTTTCCTCAGACCCTGCCTAAATTTTAAAAAGTGCGTGTGTCAGTCAGAGGCCAAATCTAGCCATGAGCCTCCAAAGAATTTGTGTATTTCTGTTCTAAGCTAGAGTCTTTGCTCTGTATTCAAATGATGAATCCGGCACCTCCAGGTAGAAGGTTCAGGCTGAAGATGATGGAAAATACCTCTGTTCAAACCATTGGAGGACAGTAAGAGACCATCCACTAGTTTCACCAGCCAACAATCACCAAATACTGGGTGTGGAATTGTGGGAGCTGAATGTCATCGAGGTAGAAGACATCTGTTAATTCCTAGAAGTCTTAGCAATGGCCAGATGCTAGATGGGGAATCCTGGGACTTGAGGTCCACCAACCTGGAGGACATCCTTTAGTTCCCAGAAGTCTCAGCAGTGGCCAAATGCTAGCTGGGGAATTCTGGGAGCTGAGGTCAACCATTAGGGAGTCCACCAAGACTGCCCTACAAAATGGATCAAGGCTCACGTTTTCTTTGGGGCTCTTAGAAGATTTAATCCAAGCCAGAATTGACCAAGGGTCCAACTCAACTTTCTGACCTCGCCAAGAACCTACTCCTTTTATTTTAGTCTACAGCTGGAGTTCCATAGACCACGTGGCATCCCCTGGGCCGTTGTTGAGGGCCCCCAAAGTCCCATTCCAAGTTTTTCCTGAGTTTTGGCCAACCCCATCGCCTCAGCCAGCTGCCACTTTGAGTTGGCAGCCAATTTGCCTTCTGCAAAACCAAACCAAACCAAGATGTGATCTGGGTAGCGGCAGCACGCGACAATTTGCTTGCACAATTTTGCAAATATCATTGTAGGCAAGAATGGAAGCCTCACCATCTCACTCTGGTGGCGAAGAGAACGCCTGCCGAGCCCAACAATTGCTCACCGTAGGTGCAAGTACTTTCGGGAAGCTGATAATCGGACTGTTCACATGTGCGGCTTGTATTTACATGGGAACGGCTGTCCCACGGAGACGTCGCGACTTTGGAAACAAAGCAAGCCTTTTCAGGCTCCACACCAATTCCAGGCTGCTGGATGGCTGGCCACAGGCAGCACCACGGCTGAAAAAACCTCTTGCTTGCCAGCTTTCGAAGTTAATGCGGTTACCGCGCAGACGGCGCAAGCCGGGTTGTTCCTGACTGCTGCTCAGCCGTTCCAAATCGTCTGTGGGTAATTTTTTTAGAAATGTGGACAATAGCAGGGGCAGAACCATCTTCCTCTTCCCCCGACCCCGGGGAAATATTCTTATTCTCGACCTTTTTCCAATTCTTGATAAGGGATGCAAAACATAAGTCTCTGGATGCATAGCTTGACCAATTACCTTTCGACAGCTCTAGGATTTCAATCATCATCATCATCATCGTCATCATCATCCTGTGACGATACCTTTAACCATCCCAAAACATCTGGAGCACCCCTTGAAGACCATCGGCGTTGACCAAATCACCATCAGTCCATTGCACAAGGCCGCTCCACTTGGAACAGCTTCCATCCTGCGACAACACCATCAGACAACATTTACCCATCCCAGGTCCTTGGGAAGGACTCGCTAGGTGGATAAAAATGCCAAATCCAGTCTAAACATCTGGCTGATTGCGCAACCAACATTTATTTATTTATTTATTTATTTATTTATTT